CCGTGCCGGGTGGGGACGGCCTCTCCTTACCCACCGCTCACTCCCACACTTAGGAAATCTCCTCCCTTTAGACTCTGGTTCCCTGCGCCTCGGTAGCGTCTGCTGCAACTTCTCCCTGGAGCCAGGAGTCCAGGGTGACTGCGATGGCGGGGCTGGGAGGAGAGCCGCTCACCAATTTTAGCAAAGCGAATTTGAGCCCGGAGCCTCCCGGGAGGTGCCCAGCTTCCTTCCCAGCCCCGTCATTGTGTTCCCCGCAGCAGCACAATCTGAAAAGTATAACGGTACTGCTGGATTTTGAACCCAGTGCTCTGCCTTGGACGGAGCTGTGCCCCAGGCTGGAAAGTGCAAAAACTAAAGGTCTGTGCTCCAACTTTCACTTTGTCTCCAAGTCCAAGGCGGACATCCTGGCTTTGGTTAAATGACTCCCGAGGAACATTACCCCGAGGCAACCAATTCTGTCTTGTGAAAGTTCTTGCCCTGTTGTTTTTTTTGTTTGTTTGTTTTTTAATTGTGCTAGGGATTGCACCCAGGGCCTTCATACTGAGCTACATCCTTAGCCTCCTTAATCAAATTTTGAGACAAGATTTCACTGTTTGACCAACGTGTCCAGGCTGGGCTCAGACTTAGGACCTTCCTACATCAGAGTGCTGGGATTACAGGTGAGCGCCACCGCTCCTAGCTTGAAACCTGTCTGCCCGTGTTCTTGTCTTAGCGCAGCCATGTGTGGGAGTAGCCTTGTATGGCCCCTGGCCACAGACACTGCTCCCCCTCAGCTAAAGACTGCCCTGCTGTCCCTGGGTGCCCTGTGCAGGGACATGGGGTCTGTTGTTCTTGCCCTGTGACTGGGTGTTTAGAAACGCAGTCCAAGGCTGCATTGGCACCTTTGGCAATCGTGTAGACTCCGCTGGTTCCCTGTCAGCCTCCCAGTACACATCCTGTCCTGTACACAGGCCTCTTGGTTCCCCCGCCCAGCGCAGCATGGACTAAAACTCCACAGACTGCCAGAGCTGCTGACCCCCATGTTGTGTGAGGTAACTGGAACACCCCAGAAACCTTTACAGTCCTTGTGGGGAGGTGGACAGAGGACCCGCGCAGGGCTGCAACCTGTGTTCTTAAATACTGCACCTACCAGCTTTGGTTTGTAACAAGGTCTGCTAAGTTGCCCAGGCTGCCCTTGAATTTGCGGTCCTCCTGCCTCAGCCTCCCAAGTCACCGGGATTACAGATGTGTGCCTGGCTTACCTCCCAGTACTATATTCTGTTTGCTTTTGTTTGTTTTTCTAAGACAAGGTCTTGCAATGTAGTCTAGGAGTCTTGAACTCAGCTGTTTGGCCTGGGCTGTCCTTAGATTTGCAATCTTCCTGCCTCAGCCTCCCTAGTGCTGGGATTCCAGGTGTTTGTCATCATGCCCAACCATCCTACCAGTTTTTAAAGATTTCTTTGTGCCCTAATAGGATACCCATTGTATTTACACTCCTTGTTCATTGGTCACATCCATTGGCAAGTTTAATTAGCCATCTAGCTGTCACACAGGCTGCCCTAAAGCTGTGTTTTCAGCTCAGTTTAGTGATGTGTATTCCCAGAACTTGGGAGCCTCAGGCAGGAGTATCCTGAGTCCAAAGCCAGCCTGGGCTGCGTAACCTAGGCCTGGGCTCAGAGAGGGAAAGAGGGAAGGATGGAGGGAGGGAGGCAGGAAGAGACAGACATATGTATTTTAGCCAGTAGGGTACAAAACCAATTTAATGGGTCACGATCAGCATTTTTAAAAAGTGTAGTAGAGGGCTGGGGATTTAGCTCAGTGGTTCCATTGCCTGCCTCGCAAGCACAAGGACCTGAATTCGAACCCCAGTACCAAAAAAAAAAGTGCAGTATAGTAGAAAGATACCAAAGTCATATCACATGTAATAAAGGCAGATTTTGATTCAGGAAGCTTTTACTGCCTGAGCGTAAAACAAGAGCATCTCCTGTATGCGTGAATATTTGTGCTGAGGCTTGAGGTGCTGTTTTTTCCTTTCCGAGGCGCTGGGGGTGAGTTTGGGACCCGCCACACCAGGCAAGCTTTCCGTGCACGCTCTACCCCTTCCCGAGTAACTCGCTTTTACAACTGGTTCGTGCTCCAGCAGCCTAGATTCCACCACTCTAAAGGAAAAAGAAACTGTTTGGGGGCTGACTTCAGGTATTTCCATGCTCGGGCTGCCACAATTCTGTAGACACATCGTAAGTCTGGACTTAGGCTCACGGACAGCGCCTCAGCCTCCCTCGTCTTGTGATGGGGTGGGGGTGCTCCCTGCTGCTCTGTGCCCCACAGGGACACGGCGCACATGCAGCCCTCATGCCGCTGCATCTGCCCGATTGCGCCCCTGTGGGGCAGCAATGCGCCTGAGCTCACACAGGCCCTGAGTGGGGGCGTGTCCAGAGATCCATTTGTGGGGTCATTTTTCAACTTAGTCATTGTTAGCCTTTACTTATTTATTTAGGTATCAGGGATTGAACTCAGGACCTCTGCTTGCCAGGCAGGCATGGCACAGCTGAGCTACTTCCCTGGCCCTGGGGGTTCATTTTTAAAGACAGTTGTGCCAGGCATGGTGTGGTACACCTGTAATTCCAGCATTCAGGAGGCTGAGGCAGGAGGATCACTGCGAGTATGAGGCCAGCCTGGGCTCCATAGTGAATTCATGCCCAGCCTGGACTGATAAAGGGACCCTATCTCAAATAACAATAACAACAACAAAAATAGCCTCTAAGGAGATGCCCACGGCCCTTGGTTCTGCCCCCGCCCCAGGTCGACCCTCCAGGAGGCTTGCTTAGCTGAGCCCCTGGGCTGCACTGCTATTTTGCTGGAGATTGAACCTAGGGCCTCGAACTCCTAGCCAAGTGCTGTACCACTGAGCTGCATCCCCAGCCCTCACAAGAACATTATGAAGCTAGGGTTCATTGCACACACGTGTAATTCCAGCTGCTTGGGAGGCTGAGGATTGGAAGTTCAAGACCAACCTGGACATCTTAGTGAGACCCTGTCTCAAAATAATAAAAAAGAGGTTACGAATGTAGCTCAGTGCTCCTGAGTTCAAACCCCACTACCGAAAAACAAAAAAAAGACTATGCTGAAAGTGTCACTGATGGCTGAAGTCAGATCGCTGGCATGCGTGTCCTCCTGTGACAGTCCCCAACGGTACCGGACTCGGGCTGGTTTCTCAGTAAGGCCGGCACCTTCTGCTTGTCTGCTGTAGGGTTGCCAAGGGTGGGGTGTGCGACGGGTCCGCACCTGCAGTCCCGCCTTGGCCGCCTAGGCCCCCAAGGTGGGAGCGTCCAGGAAACCCTTTCTCAGGCGGGCGGTCGGCGACTGCAGCGGGCACTGGGCCATCTCCTTCCATGCGGCGTTGGCCTGGGCTGATCCCTCCCGTCCCATCCCTTGGCCTTCCCGGTCTCAGAGCCATTCTCCCAGGGGGAGCAGCGGAGGTGCCCGGGACAGCGCGGCACCACCCCTGCCCAGCCTCATCTTCCCGGCCGACGCCCACCCTGAGCTTCGTCCCAGGTGTCTCCGCACCCTGGCACCTGCATTCCAGGGGGCTTGGACCCAGCTTGGCTCTGCCCCATCTTCTTTCTCCCCCTTCGTGGCATCTTCCACTCCATTCTCACGGCTACCACCACCTTGTCTGTTTCCTTTTAAATCAGGCTTAAGTGTGGGACAAAGATTCCTCTTCTTATTTCTTCCACCTTCTTTAATTTCCTTTACTTAAAAAGAGTACAGGGCCGGTGATTTAGCTCAGTGGTTCTACCACCTGCCTCGCAAGCACAAGGTATCAAGTTTGAACCCTGGTACCCCCCAAAAAAAACAGTATAGTAAGGTACAGTTGTCCCCAGTGTTCACCAAGGCTGGTTCCCCAGGACCCCACAGACACCAAAGCACACAGATGTGAAGTCCCTCACGTAAAATGCCACAGCATCCAAAGACAGATAGATGGAGATACATTTTGTTCCGTTTTGTTTTGTGTTTTGAGGCAGGGTCTCACTACATAGTCCAGACTGGCCTCGAACTCGCCGCAATCCTCCTGCCTCAGCCTCCTCAGTGCTGAGATGACAGGAGTGCGCCACCCACCACCTCCAGCTCCTCCCAAGTAGTTTGCTAGTCCTAAAGTCACTCACCGTCCCTAAAACAGCTTTAGGTGCTTTGGCGATGGTCCTTTCTCCCGCACTGCCGGAGGCAGTGACAAGCAGAGGCTGCGCATGGGGAGGTGCAGCCGGTCTTCCCTCTGTTCCCACCTGCAGTTGGTCAGATCTGTGCGTGCAGAAGTCGGGAATGCAGGGTGCCAGTCGCCAGTCACTGTGAGGAGACAGAGAAATGGGGACAATGATTCCCTATCCAGCAAAATTCTACCTCCAGGAGATACCAGCTTTTAACATCCAGCACTTTTGGATATTCTTCTTTCTAATTAGCTGTATTCATCTGTAGAAACATCTACACGTTTAGACAAAATAGAATTTCCGGTATTTTCATTCCTCTCCGTATATTCAGCTATTAGCTGACCTAGTCTTTTGCCCTGTGTAAAACTGTAAATTAAAAAAAAAAATTCACTTAAAGTACCCTGCCTGGTATGGTGGCAAACCCCTGTAATCCCAGCACTTGGGAGGCTGAGGCAGGAGGATCCCTGTGAGTTCTAAGCCAGCCTGGGCTACAGAGTGAGTAAAGGCCAGCCTGCACTACATAGGAAGACCCTGCCTCAAAATCAATCAATAAATAACCCCTCCCCTTTGCCCTGGGCCAGGCTGGTTTGGTGGGAAGCTTGCCTCAGAGGAGGTTTACCTCCTGGGGGCTCCCCTTGTACCAAAGGGTTCCAGGGCAGCACTGAGCCTACCGAGAGCCTAGACCGTGTGGCAGCGGGTCAGGGTAGAGGAGGAAGCCCGGCTGTCCTCAGGGTGCGTCCTTCTGTGCGGGAGCAGCCGCCCTAGGCACCCTCGTCGGTGGCGACCTGTGCGTCACTCGGCTCCCTTCTTCCGCAGATCCACAGTCGAGCATGGCTGCCACTGCCGCTGTCAGCCCCAGCGACTACCTGCAGCCGGCCGCCGCCGCCACCCAGGTGAGTGCAGACCCCTCCGCTCTCACTACCCGTCTCCACCCTGGTCGGTCGCTGTCCCCGGGGCCAGGCCTCCTGAGGAGTCAGTCCATGGCTGACTCCTTACTGAGGCAGCCTGGATGTGGCCGGGACTCCACTCCACTCCTTCAGGGAAGCGGGGACTTGCTGGGGTGGTTGTCTCCCCGCACACGCCCTGGGGATTGAACCCAAGACTTGCCTACTGAACTACATCTCCAGCCCTTTTAAACATTATGGGCCGGGGATTTAGCTCAGCGGGCTGGGCTACATAGTGGGTTCAAGACCAACCTGAGCCCCATAGTGAGGCCCTGCCTGAAAAAAAATGTTCTTTAAAAAAACATCTTGAGACACTTTCACTGAAGTCACCGTGTTGCCCGAGCTGGGTTCAGACTTGTGATCCTCCCGCGTCAGCCCCCCAGGGTGCTGGAGGGCAGACTCGCACCCCCTCGCCGGCCCCAGAGGCATCGGGGAGGGCGCTGCGTGGCTGGGCCTTGCTGTCTCACCCCCCATTCCTCGCTGCTTTCCGCAGGACTCGCAACCCTCTCCCTTGGCCTTGCTGGCTGCAACATGTAGCAAAATTGGGCCCCCAGCGGTGGAGGCGGCTGTGGCGCCTCCCGCACCCCCCCAGCCCACGCCCCGGAAGCTGGTCCCCATCAAACCCGCCCCTCTCCCGCTCAGTCCGGGCAAGAACAGCTTCGGCATCCTGTCCCCCAAAGGCAACATACTGCAGATCCAGGGCTCGCAGCTGAGCACCTCCTACCCGGGCGGGCAGCTGGTGTTCGCCATCCAGAGTCCGGGCATGGTGGGCAAGGGCGCGCGCTCCGGCGCCAGCATCCAGTACCAGGCTGTCCCGCAGCTGCAGGCGGGCGGCACCC